ACTGGGACAACACCAAGATCCTGGGACAGGCTAGGCAGAGACAAGCACGAGAATTCCTGGAAGCATGGCACTCCACGAAGCATGCTATTAATAAACACATTGAACTCGACCCCATATACATTCCACTACGGAGGAAACCCGGAAGTGAGGCAATCCATCGCAACGGACCCCAGAGTTTAAAAACCAGGCGGGAAACCACACCGACGCTTCATCAGAGGCTGCACTGAGGATGTTACCAAGCACGGTAACGAAACGTCTGCGGAACGACAAACCGGCTCGGCGAGCCAACCAAAACTAAACTAGTCCCATTTGCCTACATTTGGCCCATATCCCTTTAAACCTTTCCTAATCATGTACCTGTCCAAATGTCTTTTAAATATTGTGACTGTACCTGCATCTACCACTTCCTTTGGCAGTTCATTCCAAATACAAACCACGTTGTGTGAAAAAGTTGCCACTCAGGTCCCTTTTAAATCTTTCCCCTCTCACCTTAAAATTATTCCATCTTTTCCCCAGGGAAAAGACCTTTCTTATTCACCTTATCTGTGCCCCTCATGACTTTATAAACCTCTATAATGTTATTAAAAGTAGCTTCCTTAAAGTTACGTGTAAACGAGACCGCCAATGATTCATTTGCCTATTTAGTCAGTGTTTTATAGTCACTGACTTACTATGGGGTGCTGTCTGCATGGTTATGTTTCTGACATATCAGTTACTCACTGGCAATGTTTTGTCACAAGCATCCAATCAGGTTTGCAGAATTCCCATCCAAATTTGCCATTAAAAGGCCTGAACAAGCCAATTTCACGAGAGTTAAAAGAGAGAGAGAAACAAGGTTGAATTTTAGAGCTTTATCATATTCTTGCAAGCTGCACATCAACTTATTACAGCAAATTTAAAAGAAAAATCAGCAAAATGCAGCTGTTACAAACAGATCAGAAAGGGTTAGAGACAAAAGAACTGCAAACGCTGGAATTCCAAGATAGACAAACAGGAGGCTGGAAGAACACAGCAAGCCAGGCAGCATTTGCAGGAAAATAGCAGTCAACGTTTTGGGTATTACCCTTCTCCAGGACTCAAGGAAGGTAATACCTGAAATGTTGACTGCTCCTTTCCTCCAGATGCTGCCTGGCTTGCTGTGTTCTTCCAGCCTCCTGTTTTGTCTAGCTCAGGAAGAGCTAATGGAATGGTTTCTTTTCTTTCACTCTTTCTGAGATTAATAAGCATTTACTAAAGATTAGGCCCCAGCATATAATGCAAATGAAATGGGTCTTCAATTTCAGGCTGCTGTAGAGCACACTGGAACTTCTGGAGTTATTACCGATTTAATAGTGTTACAGCATTAGTTCTAGGCTTTCTGGTCAGTTCAGTAATACCATGACTTCTAAGCACTTGTAGAGGTGGTGCTGGTGGGGGAGGAATCTTTTACAAAGAGCTGCTTAGTGTTCAGTCACACATATTGCAATTAACAGCCAACAATTCAATTTAAACCAAGGATATTGCTCTTTCTCCTCCTGCTTGGAGTTTTGTCTGGTAGTGTGGAGGAGTTAGTTAGACATCAAGCTTGCTCACAGCTATCCCAGCCTTTCTAATTTGATGATCACCTGCTTTGTTGGCCGAAAGGGATCCTCCGTGATGCATGCCATTAGGGCAGGGAATAACATTTCTCTAAAACAAGTGGTCGATAGCCAGGCCTGGGTCTACTTGAGGAAGATGCTAAGTCCCCAAAATGGCAAGTGCTACATTCCCCAGCACCAACATCCATCTTCCTGATAATGTGTCGAAACACTCAACTATTTTGAGTTGTTAAAAGCATACTCTTTGCCTGTCACTACATTAGAACTGTTATGCTCATATGAGGCTGCAGAATGGTGTCTGATGAATGAGGGCCATGCCAATTACCTGACAGATGGGTTGGGGACAAGACAGAAAATGACCAGAGTCATACAGCACAGAAACGGACCCTTCAGGCCAATTCATCCTTGCCAACCAAACATCCCAATCTGACTTAGTCCCATTTGTCAGAATATCCTTCTAAACCCTTCCTATTAATGTACCCATCTCGATGCCTTTTAAATGTTGTAATTGTACCCACCTCCACCACTTCCTCTGGCAGCTTGTTTCATACACACACCACCCTCTGCATGAAAATGTTAGGTAATATCTGTGGAACCAACCAGAGCTATAATAATGCTTCAGCCTGTGGCCTTATTTGTTTATGGTCCAAGACCCGCTGGGAAGACAACAATACATTAAAGGGGATATATTGCTTGGATTGTTCCAGAGCAGTATATGCTTTGAACCACACACAAAGCTTTACAATACTTTCATCAGCTCGGGCTCTTGTGCTTGCAATGTCCAGGTCTCAACTGTTTCACCTACAACCACGTGGTCCCAGTAGATTCTGTTTTATGGTCGCTTCCCGAAAATCTACCCAAGACTGTAAGCTGCAGTTCCCAATTCTACCCAGAAAGGCCACGTGCAGCTTTTCAAACTTACTGATCAGCTTCTAGTTATTGAGCAATCATTTTTCCAAGTCCCGATTCAAGAGGAACAAGGTCCATTCAGGAGCTCAGCTAACATTTCCAACAAATGCTTCTTTTACCATCCAAAATATTATACATGGAATACAAAATGCATACGCATTAGAGCAAGCAACAATTCAAGGAATTGCTTCAAGCAACCCAACAGTGCAGAATCCATCACCAGATCCAATATAAAGTTCATCAGCTTCAACATTATCTAAAAAAAACTCCCACCATATGGGCTCCCTCCATTAACAAATTATAATTCAACAAACATTCATAGGCTTGACTTATGAACAGACAATTCCAATGAATTCTCATTTGTTGACAAACTCAAGAGCAGACTGCATCTTGATCCAGTTGATGTTTATTCTTTTGTGGGTTTAGAGTGTCTGAACATTTAACATAATTGGCAGGGATGTGTAGTGCATTCAGTAGCCAAAGCCTCAAATTATTTGATAATCTCCAAGAATTAAAGATTAAATTCCTGGACCCTACTGCAAGCAATTTGGGAATAGAACCACAGAAACACTGAAGTTATTCTCATGTTTAAAGGAATCTATTATTTATAAATAATATTGGTGATTAAGGCTAGTCCACTGGCCAATCTTCCAATGAGGTACAGATTAGACTTTTTTTCTTCTTTATTCTTTTCCAGCATGTGAATATCATTAGTAGATCCAGCTTCCCTAATTGCCCATGAATTAAGTGGCTTGCTATGGTCACTTTGGCAGTTAAGGTTCAACCACATCGCTGTGGGTGTGGGATCACATGCACAGCAGAGTGAGTAAGGACAGCAGATTTCCTTCCTCAAAGAACATCAATTAACCAAGTGGCTTTTTAACAATGATCTAAGATAGTTGCTATGGTCACCATGATTGAGATGAACTTTACAGTTCAGATTTATGAACTGATTTTTAATTTCATCAGCTACCATTATGCGATTTGAACACATATTCCCAGATAATTTGCCTGGGCCTCCAGATTACTAGTCCAGTGACGTTACCATCACACCATTCTACTGACTGTGGGAAGGGCATGCAGTGTGAGGATGAAGGCATGGAGCTGGGAAGAGGTCAGCTAGAGATAGGAAATCATGTGATAAAATCTCCAAGAATACATCAAACTAAAAATCAGAAGCCCTGGTAGTGCAGTGTGTCCATCAGATAATCAGTAGTCATAGTGTAAGGCATTGTCTGTCGATCATTGAGAGCTAGCTCTAAGACATGAAGATTAAAGGCTTAAAAATCTCATGTTGCACATCGGTAGTGTATGAAAATAGTGATGTAAATGTACAGTATAGAATTGTCCTAAACTGGTCTGAGAAACTGTAATATTTCCTCAACTCTCAAATAAAGTAGGAGCTGTGTTTAGATGAGACTGCTTCTTTCATTGGCATCCAAAAGAAAACCCATTGAAAACATGAACTACAATGTCTGAATCACTCAATCACAATCCAGGATAAACACAAGATCATTGGCACAACTTTAAATTGTACGTCAAATAGGTCGCCTTGACTTCTTTTTAGAGTCATAATGTTCATTGTTCATAAGCATCTCAATTACATTGCCTCTTAACTATCCAGTCCACAATGCACACCCTGACTCTGTTAAGGCTACCTAGCTGGCCCTGCCCAGATAATCTATAATGTGGAGGTGTCGGTGTTGGACTGGGGTGGACAAAGTCAGAAGTCACATGACACCAGGTTATAGTCCAAAAGGTTTATTTGAAATCACAAGCTTTCAGAGCGCTGCTCCTTTGTCGGGTGAAGTGAAGAAAGCTTCACAGACACAGAATTTATAGACACAGAGATCAAAAGGTCATCCAAATGGTGTAAGTGGAATGTCGACAGGTTAATAATAAGTCTCTGCAAGTGGTCAAAAGTGTCAGACTATCTTTTCTTCACTTTACCCAATGAAGGAGCAGTGCTTCGAAAGCCTGTGATTTGAAATAAACTTGTTGGACTATAACCTGGTGTCATGTGATTTCTGACCAGATAATCGATGATCAGTACCAATGCTGTGTTTCAGTGTTAAATGGCCAGTTGCTGCTTTGCAACTACTATCGACTTCAACATGCTAAGCCACATTTGGGATACCGCATGCAGTTTTGGTCATCCTGTTTTCACAAGAATAAACTGGTTCTCATCAGAGCAAATTCAGGAAATATGACTCATTTAAAAACAGAAGTGACAGATGAAGAAGTTATACCAATGAACAACATTTAAACTGTTTAAACATCCTGGGTAGTGTAAATCAAGTGAATGTAAACAGTTCATCTAATTAAAAGGCAAGAGTGGGGGATTAGACAATATAAATTCAGAACTAGAAAGATTAAATCAAGACTTGGGGCCGACGATATTTCCTTTTTACCCAAACTCTTAGATCTGAAATAGTTCTAAACAAAAGGAGCTCTCTCGATGCGTTTAAAATGATGTGTAAACATCGGTTTAAGGTTTTTAAGGAAAAATTAAAACTTAAAAATTAATTAAAATTGAATTAAAAATTAAATAATGCCCAGTTTTAGTGAGACTGTGTTTTGGGAGGTATAATGGTTAGGAGAGTAATATTGGAGTGATTTGCAGTCAATTTCAATCATTTTTTCAGGTCAGCCATTTCAAGTTTATTCTTTTTGAATGTAACTTGTAGCTATTCACTGACCTCTGGAGATTAAAAACTGTGGGGTGAGACTCCAAAATAATGACAAAATTATACATGGTCCACTGGAGACAGGAGGATTAATAGTCTTCTTCATGTCCTTACATACACAAATCCATTTTGAGAAAGGTGTTAAACTCCAGGGTAGGTGTGCAGAACGGGATGGGGACCAGGAAAATTGCTCTTGCGAGAGAAGAGCGCTGCTAGATAAAACCTTTGCCTGCAGGAAAACAAACTCTTAAAAACAGAATTACGTGTTTCTCGCATCCCCCACCTCTGGTATTAATGCCGTCTCCTAAGCCTCCTAACAAGTCCAGCTCTGCTTGAAGGTTTCACAGAGCCAGCATTGTTTTAGCTGAAATGCCGCAGTCAGTGAAACCATCTTTTCTTTCCCAACTATTCTCAGGATGTAGGTATACACTGGAAAGGTGGGGGTGGACCTTCCTGCTGTTCTCTTCAAGAACAGACAGTACAACTGAGTGTTTCACCAGATTACTCTAGAGGAATGTAAAGGCTCAACCACAATGTTGAGACACTGGAGTCACATTCAGACAAGATGGGCAAGAACGGCAAATTTCCTTCCCTAAACAACGTTAGTCAACCAGTCGAGTTTTTTTTGTGACAGTTCAACAACTGAGTGGTCACTTCTCCTGTTTAAAATGTAAACTTCTCAAACTGCCATGGGGACTACTAGGCAATTTCTTCAGTTCCTGACTTAGGTCCATTTCATGGAGAAATGGGTTGTTGAGGGTGCAGGGGTAGTTGGGAGGGATAGATTTCCATCATAGCCACGGACCTTCCTGCTCTAAACTTGGGCCTCATGAAAACCCGAGCTCAAGCAGAGTGGAAATTTACACCATTCATTGTCTTCACACTCAAGGAACAGTTAACTGGATAACATGGAATAAAAATGAGTAAGGCTGCATGATGAAACAATTAAAAGTTGCCCCAAATCCTAGGCTCTGTTCCCCTATGGACCTGTACAGCCATCTGGAATGTATTTGACAGCATGAAATCATGGTTAACATGCAGGATTGACATCACAAGATATCATTCTGAATCGCATTTGCTATAGATTGTGCAATGAGTGGTCTGATTACTCCCACGAGCTCTCTGTTAAACTTGTCTGAAATATGCTTGTGGAGTGCCGTCAGTGGCCTAGTCGCTCCTGCAGAGCCTGGATGGCGTTACTCATTTGGTCCTCTGTCCCTTGCAACATTTTCACCTCAATGGTATGAAAGACATACAGGATGCCAGCAAGTAGAGCCACAGCAAAGGCCACCATGCCCAGAATGTAGAAAGACACCTTGGGAAATGAGTTCTCTGGCGTGGTGGTGACCAGTGGTATGATCGCCATGACAACCTCGAGGAGCAGTAGGATAAACCCCAGAATGGCCATCCTGCCAGAGGAGTAGCGCACTTTCTCTGCCCCGTGAATACCAATTTTTAGCTCCGCCCGAGCCTCATTTAGAATGTCCACAAGTTGCGGGTCAGTCTCTGCAACAAAATCAGATGGTTAGTCTGTAGTCAACAGGGTGCCCGAGGTCCACAGAAAAGAAAAAAAGCAAGATCCATGGAATTAAAGAACAGTTACCGCACAGATAGAAGCCATTTAGCTTATTGCAATCGTGCTAGCTCTCCAAAGGAGCAATTTACTTAATGCTACCAACGAACACCACTCCCCACCCCCCACCCCCCAGCTCCCCCAACCCCCCAAAATCTACCTGTTGTCCTCCACATTCTTACCTTCCAGATAACAATCCAAATCCTTCTTGAATTGTCTCAGTTGAATCTGCCTCCTCCACACTCAGGTAGCACAATCCTGATATCTACTACTCCATGTGAAAACATTTCTCCACAAATTGACATTGTTTCTTTTGCCAATTATCTTAAATCTGTGCCTTCCTTTTCTTGATCCTGGCATGAAATGGAACATCTTTTCCATTATCGACTTTATTCAAACCTCTCACGATTTAAAATTTCTCCACCAGAACTCCCCTCAAATTTTTCTCAAGGAAATCAGTCCCAACTTCTCCAATCTAGCTTCACGGCCGAAATTCCTCATCTGAGGCCATTCTCGTAAATCTTTTCTGTACCCTCCCTAATGCATTCACACCTCTCCTGAAGTGTGGTATCAAAGGCTAGATGCAATATTCCAGACGGGATTGGAGCAGTGTTTTACACAAGTGTAACTTAACTTTGTTTCCGTGCATCATGCCCCAATTAATAAAACCTACAATGCTTTCTCAACCTACGCTGGTAGCATAAATGAATTATGGACATACACCCTGAATGTTGCCTCGAATTTTTTCTTCCTCAGTGTCGACTTCTGAGGTTTGTGTGCAGCAGTGACTTCTGAAATCGGTGGTGAATGCAATGACATGCCAATCAGCACGCATGGGCCCTCGCAGCAGCCATGGCACTGCATCCCAGGCCCTTCTTTTCGTACACCTCCTTGAAACTTGCTTGCTTTATTTTGTATTGTGTCTCTGTGCTCTTCCTACCAAAATGAATCATTTCACATTCTCTTCCATCTGCCACTTGTCCACGCATTCCGCTAATCTGTGTCATTTTGAAGTTTCAATTCTCCTCACAGTTCATAACACTTACAAATTTTGTACAGTCGGCCAATTTTGAAGTTATGCCTAGGACTGCTGCCTCCATAAAAACCAAAAGCACTGCAGGGATGTTGTAAATCAGGAACAAAAACACCGGGCCCGAAATATTAACTGTTTTTTCCTTCACAGATGCTGCCAGACCTGCTGAGCTTTTCCAGCAACTCTATTTTTATACCTCTCTCCATATCATCAATACGCAGGAGGGAGTGAAGGCCCCAGCACCAAACCGTTGAGATCTCCATGATAGACCTTCCTCCAGTACATCACAAAAAAAAAACACACATCCATTTCTTCATTTGAATTCTCATTTAAACAGACATCAACCATCCATTTGGCACCACCTTCAGCAACCAAACCCTTCACAATCATTGCACAGAGGCAGCAATGTGCAAAGTGCACTGCAGCAACTCATTAAGGGCACATTCCAAACCTGTGACCTCCCATCTAGATAGATGGGGGCAACAGAAGCATGGGAACATCACCCCACGCAAGGTACCCTCCAAGCCACATGCCATCCTGTTTTGGAAAAACAATGCCATATTTCACCATTGCCGAGTCAAAATCCAGAAACATCACTGTAGGTGTTTATCCAAGTCCCCTGGATTATAACAGAACAAGAAAGTAGCTCTCCACCACCTTTTCCAGGGTAATTCGGAACGGAGAATAAATTCTGGCCTAATGAGCAGACCCACATCTCACTAATTTTTAAAAATTGTACAGTCTATACAATTTCCCTCAAACCGTAAACAAAATCTTCTCCAACTTATATAGCAAAAGCAATATTCTGGTTCACATGCAAGCCAACAATCTCAATCCAAAATGGAACTGCAATGTGATTTTATTTTAATGAAATTTCACATACAAACTGAAGTAATCCAGCTAGAAATTATGGAATTATTTAAATATTTGAACAGTTGGATCACAAAGTCTCACAACTGTGAAAGGAGGTCTTAGCTCATTCTGCCTGTGCTAATTCTCTGAAAGAATTATGCTTTACCCTTTAATTATTTATTCATTCCCTCCTTCAACGCTGTTCCAGGGTCTGCTTCTTCCTTTGTGGTCTAAACAAACCTCTCTCAAAAAAAATGCTTCCCTTAACCTCATTACTTTTGTGGGCAATTTCCTCCTTTTAAAAGCCATTTTTTCAAAAAAAGACACAGCTTTCAATCCTAGAGTTCCTCCTCCTGTTTTATTGGATTGTCATTAGAACTTTGGATGTTCACACAACCTGCAGGCGTTGTCAATTAATTGTTCATGCTCGTGAACAGATTGGTTACTTATGCTCAGTCTGGGAACTGCACCTGCTTTGTCCCCAAGACTGTATATATTATGATGAAGATACAAACAGGTAGCAGGAGAAAACCATTTGCCCTATCAAGCCTCTTCTGCTGATTAATAAAACAGTGGCTGATCTGATTGTACCTTCAGCTCCACATTCCTACCTCCTCCTTTAGGTTTTCCTCTATTGCTTACAAAGAATCTATGCATTTGAGCATTAAAAAAAAAACTCTTTTTCTACCACTTTTTCCAGGAAGAGAGTTCCAAAAACTCTCAAACTTCTGAGAAAAAAAAAATCACCTCCACTCTGTTTTAGATTCTATTTTAATAATGACCCCCCACTTCTGGATTGTCCCACGAGAGAAAACATCCTTTCCACATCCACCATGTCAAGACCTCTCAGAACCTTGAATGCTTCGGTCAAATTGCCTCTCATACTTTTAAACTCCCTGCCCATTCCAGTTATTAGTCAGTAAAATAAAACCAGAATCGGCTAGAGAAAAATCAGCACATGCAATAGCATGCATGGACAGAAAAAGAGTTAAGATTTTGAGGTTACAAATACATCCTGGCTTTTATGCTGTTTGGACAGCGGGGAAGGGTCAGTTAGAACAAAAACGAAGGTTAAATATCAAAGGTATAACAAATCAAAAGGCAATTGGAGCAGTAATGGCTGTAGTAATTGGTCCAGAATAAGCAGGGATGATGGAAAAAGGGGCAGTTCTGGCTGAAAGCAAACTCAAAGTTGAGCCCTCAAGGCCGTAAAGTGCCGTTCCTCCAGCTTGCACTGGACTTTGCCAGAACATTGCAGCAGGCTTAGGACAGACCTCAGTCCTACGTCACGAACTTCAGATCATTTTTTAGACACATTTTGTTAAAGCTTAAACTAGTGCCTTGTTTGCACGGGTTTACTCTTAGCAGACCTGAGATATTTTCTGCTGCTAACACTTCTCATTAACATCTACTCCTCATATCATTCCTCTAGTACCATTGCCACGTACTTTGCACTTTGCTCAGGGCACATTCGCCATCAGCTTCACTTGCTCTTCCTCCCTCTTTGCCAACATCATAAAAACCATCACTGTGCAGTCCCCTTGAATTCCGAAGAGGAGCCATTTTCAACTCAAAATATCAGGTGTTTTTCTGACTCCACAGATGCTGCCAGACCTGCTGAGTTTCTCCAGCACTTTTTGTTTTTACATCAGATCACCAGATCTGTGGTATTTGCTTCTGTATTAGTGTGCTAAACCTTCTCTAAATTGCTTCCATTGCATTTGCAAACTTCCTTAAATAAAACTACCCAGTGGTATTTCTACGAGTTTTCAATCCTTTTTTCTATCTGTACGGCATCTTCTAATTCCCCTGTTTCTTCTTGCACAAAATATTTTTCCCATCTCTCCAGAGGTCACTCTTGTGCTCTGATGTGATGATACAGCCTTTGGTATCATTTTCCATTAACTTTGAACCTACTTTAATGGAGACAAGCCTGCTCTTGCATACTGGTTCACACCAGGGGCAACTGTCCTCTTCTCATCCCAAAGGTAATGCAGGTAACTTCAGTGCTCAGCCTGCTGCCCTGATTCTGGCTCAGCACAGACTAGATATTGAAATTGGGAGTTTTCAGGGTCAATAGGACTTAGTGATTCAATGGAGCTGCTTTGAGTCACCACAACACTAGCTGACAAGAGAGCAAATCAAAAATACCAGAGTTAACAAAAATTGTAAAACTCGTGTTTAAATACACTTTAGCTTTTGCAGCTAAGTTTCTGTGCTTCAATTTGGACCAAGACGTAATTCTGTTGTTGAATAAGAACATGAAGAAGAACACAATGTTACAGCACAGACTGACCAGCTGGCTGATTAGGCTGTGCCACAGTTAAGTTCCATTGGAGCCTCTTCTCACTATCAACACATCCCTCTATTCATTCCTTTCTCAATAATGCATCCATCTTCCTTTCAATGTATCTAGGCTAATCACCTCAACTACTCATTGTAGCAATAAGTTTCACACTGTAACCACTATCTAAAAACAAGTTCCTTCTGAATTCCTTCCAGGATTTATATTTTTTGAAGCCATTTACTAATCAACCTGCTCAGACACGTTATTGCACACCTCTGGAGCAGGAGGGACTTGAACCTGGACCTCTAACCCGCGCCTCCTGTTTCAGGGGTAGGACTGTGTCACAAAATCCACCTTCCTTCTAGGATTTATCAGTAACCATTTTACATTTATGGTCCCTAGTCTTGGACTAGGAGTCCTCACAAAACTAGAGTCAATAGGAATCGGCGAAAAAGTCAGGACAGGTTGAAAACATACTTAGCAGAAAGGAACAAACACAGAAATTGCTGGAAAAGCTCAGCAGGTCTGGCAGCATCTGTGAAGAAAAATCAGAGTTAACGTTTC